CTGACTAATTGCCCACAAATGTCTAGGATGCTGGATGAATACCAGGCATAATCAATTAGGAAATTTACAGCTAAAGAGGTTGCATTTACAGTAACAAAATGTATTAACTACTTTGTAATAAACCCAGCGAAGGATGTTTATGAGCCAGGTAGAGAAAGCTGGACTACTTCTGATTCCTCAAGGAGACAAGAATAAATAGAGAATTGCATTTTCTTGGCAAGTGGGAACAATAGAGTGAAGATATTGATTCTCTTCACATCCATTTATAGGTCACATGTGGTCCTGTTACAGTGTGTCTGGTTTTGCGGTGCTGTTGTACATTTGCAACACCATTCCAAGTCGCTTATATGCAGCTGACCAGAATGCCTGAAATCCCAGGAACAGGTGGAGGTAGCCTTTGAGTGAATCTCTGCTTGTTTAATCCAGTGGTTCTCAAATTTGAGCATGCATCAGAATCACCTGGAGGCTTGTTAAAACTCAGATTACTGAGCCATATATCCAGAATTTCTGATTCAGTAGGCCCAAAAGGTACCTAAGAATTTGTAGTTCTAACAAATTTCCAGGTACTGTTAATGCTGCTGGTTGGGGGAACTCAACTTTGAGAACCATGCGATTAGTCAAATGTCAATGTAATGGGGAATGGGCAGAGCAGTCTGGACTCTGAGGCTCTTGGGATCCCCTTTAAATCTAGACAAATTTCCAGCTTAATCTCAGCAACTCTTAATGTGAGCCAGGCCTGGCAGGTTACTGTCATGTTTTACTTCCTTCTTTCTATACTTTGTAAGTGTGGAAGTATTGGAAGAGCAAGAAGGCAGTAGCGTTTTGTGTGTGTGTGTGTGTGTGTGTGTGTGTGTGTGTGTGTGTGTGTGTGTCTGTCTACGCACTTGATATTTCAAGGCTCATGGGATTTAGACACAAGTTCCTGAAAGTAAGTGCTAGCCTTTATATCCTCTGTGTAGCCCTGTAAATCCTAATCTAAATCTCTAATACCTCTCTTGAAACTTGACAGAATAGTGCAGCAGGAAGAATAAATGGCCAAGAATAAGAATCAATTCTGATAGGGCTCGGGGGAGGAGAGGTGGGGAGCATTTGTCTGCTTTCATAAAACCTGTTTTAAAGCAATAGTAATAAAAACAGCTGAAGTGCAGTCATAAAGAGAAAACTGTATATAAATAATACAAAAGCAACCCAGAATTAGATCAAATTATATGTAAGATGGCTATAACGTGTGACAAGCTGAACATCAGTAAGCGATATGGAAGGAAAATTTAATAAATCATGTTGGAATACTGAGGATTGACTTTTAAAAAGGAACTAAATTTACCGAATCTAATTCTGCTCACTGAAATTAAAGATAAATAAAGATGATAAATCATAGAGAAAAAAGTTACATGGCACACAATTTACCATTTACCCTACTTCTTTGGTAGTGTAGAGGAAGTGAAAGAGAGCACTTGGGGAGTGACTCTCAGACGTGGACGTCAAAAATGTCAGTATCTCTTCTCATTTCATCCATACAGTAGCCCTGTGAGATAGCTATTACTCTCTATTCTCAGATATGGAAACCATGGCTTGAGAAATCAAGTTATTTTCTCAAAGTCAAATAGGGAGCAATCAGAAGAGCCTCAATCTGTCTGACTCCTCGTTCTGGGCTGCCCAGTGACTGCCAACCAGTCAGGGTGCAGGGGAGATGTGGCTGCCCAGTTCAGAAGATGAAGCCCAGTGCCGGTTCAGTCTTGGAGGGGCCTGGAATGGTGGGAAGAGGAACAAGATAGAACTAAGCTCTGGAGACTTGTGAGGACAGGAACTGTGTCCATAAGGTATGAACTTGGTGAGCCTAGCAAAAGAGAAAGGCAGTAAATGCATTCCAGGGGCCATGGGGGCACCCAGGGAGCTGCCTGAAGCAGAGGGAGAAGGATAAGCTGCTGTGTCCCAGGGGAAGTTGGATGTTTGATGGAGATATTGGGGCACATCTGAGCCACCTGACATGCTCCTTAAACATCCAATCTGATATGGTTTATCTGTGTCCCTACCCAAATCTCATCTTGAATTATAATTCTCATAATCTCCATCGGTCGTGGGAGGGACCAGGTGGAGATAACTGAATCATGGGGGCAGTTTCCCCCATCCTGTTCTCATGATAGTGAGTTAGTTCCCATGAGATCTGATGGTTTTATAAGGGGCTTGCCCCGCTTGTTGCTCAGCACTTCCCCTTGCTGCCGCCATGTGAAGAAGGTCATGTTTGCTTTTCCTTCCACCATGATTGTAAGTTTCCTGAGGCCTCCCCAGCCCTGTGGAACTGCGAGTCAATGAAACCTCTTTCCTTTATAAATTACCCCGTCTCAGATATATTCTTATAGCAGTGGGAGAATGGACTAATAGACAATCCCATCTGCCCAGACATAACTCTGTCACCCCTTTTATGAGGCACCTGCAGAAGGCATGCGGTGTCACAAAAGAGCAGGTTCATTGGGTCAAGGAAGTGGGTTTAACTGTTTGTCTGCCACATTCTAGGTGTATGGCTTTATTCCAATAATCGAATTCCTGTTAGTTTCCTCAGTTGTGCATCAGGATAACAATGCCTACCTTACAGAATTCATGTGAAGATTACATGAGACAAGTCAGGAAAAACTCTAAGCTTCATAAATGATGCAGAGTAGGCAGTCAATCAATATTTATCGAATATGAGAATGCATTATATATATTTCAATGTATATATTTACTCATTAGCTCTGGAGGGGGTTTATCTAGCTAGTTCTGCTTGGAAGACAAGAATTTCACATTTTTCATCAGTTTTAGCTGAAACATTCCAATTTAGGAAACTAGGTCAAGCCATATCACTGTGCATTAATTATAAGTTGTGATTCCAGCAACCTGTGGAAAGATAAGAAAATGGTCCAGTGTCTGCAGTTTTCCACAGCAACAAATGGAGCTCTGATGACAGTTTCCATAATCCCCGCCCCTTCCAATTGCTTGGGACTTCATTGTTTACAAAGAGCTGCCCACACCCATGATCACATATAACTCACCTTTAAGGGAGATTGTGTTATCCCATTTTGTAGATGAGAAAATTAAGCTTCTAAGAGGTGAAAGAACTGGCTTAGGTCATAGCTGGTGGTTGGTGGCAGACAAACTGGAATCTCTGGGATGTGCCTAAATTGATTATTGCTGCTGCGTGTACTTGATTACTTTGTTAACGGCATAAAGGATGAATTCAAGGAGGATCCTGCCTGGTGATATCTGCCTCTGGCTCCCCTAAACGCCTCAGGTAGAAGTTCTGAGGGTCCTATCTATCTGTTAAACCCTATCCCTGTTCTGGAGCCAGTTTGGAAGGAGACAGGAGAGAAACAACCTCAATCCTGGAGATGTGTGAGGCCACAGGAACTATGTCCATAATATAATTGCAGCCTGGGACCTGACAGCCCAGCCAGGATGTTGTCATTTGCTTGGGAGCTGTGGAGACATGGTCAGAGAACTTGAGTGAAGTCACGCTCAGGGGTAGGGGTGGTGGTGTTTACCTGGAGTGACAATGTTATACAGGTGGGAAAATACCTACTATTGATTTTTTTTGTGAAGAGTCGAAGACTGAGCGGTTGTGGCCACATTGCCAACCTCCAGCAGTGGTCAGCTTCTCCACGTAGAACCCAGGAGTAGGAGACCCAGAATCGAATCTCTTCTCCCTCCCTGCTCCTGTTTTCAGCTTTGTGAGAAAACTTATCATCAAACACAATGGCCGGCAGCATTACCAACAAGACAGATTCTCGCTCGGTGAACTCCCATGTGTTCAGTGGGAATCTCAACACTCTTGTGGTCAAGAAATCTGATGTGGAGGCAATCTTTTCTAAGCATGGCAAAACTGTGGGCTGCTTTGTTCATAAGGGTTTTGCCTTCCTTCAATACGTGAATGAGGGAAATGCCTGGGCTGCCGTAGCAGGAGAGGCTGGCAGAATGTCTGCTGGCCAGGTTTTAGATAGTAATCTGACTGCAGAGCTAAAAGTGAACCGAGGAAATGCAGGTGTGAAACCACCTGCAGCAGGGATGTTCATGTCAGTAACAGAACACCCTTCTCCATCCCCTCTACGCAGCTCCCCCTTTGACTTGGACTATGACTTTCAACAGGATTATGATGACAGTACAGTTACCCAGCACGTGTGCCTCCTCCTCCTCCTCCTGCTCGGGTGTAGTGCCCTCAGCATGTATCAGGAAACACCTCATGAAGGCGTAAAAGTGGCTTCAATTCTAAGAGTGGACTGCAGGGATCTTCCAAGTCTGGAAAGCTGAAAGGAGATGACCTTCAGGCCATTAAGAAGGAGCTGAACCAGGTAAAACAAAAAGTGTATTCTCTCCTGGAAAACCTGGGAAAAACTGAAAAGGAACAGAGCAAACGAGCAGTAGAGATGAAGAATAAGTCAGAAGAAAAGGGGAGCGGCAGCTCCGTGAAGAAGATGAGACTGATGTGAAGACAGAGTCTCAGGGGGCGGGCGATGACTCTGCTGAGGAGGGGGACCTACTGGATGATGATGATAATGAATCGTGAAGATGATCTGGGGGAGTTGATCAAGGATGGTGAAAAAGAGGCTGAAGAAGGAGAGGATGACAGAGACAGCGCCAATGGCGCGGATGGCTCGTAAGCACATAGTGGGGTTTAGAAATCTTATCCCAATATTTCTTTGCCTAGGCGCTAGTCTAAGATGAAATTTTTCACCAGCTCCTCTCCCCTAATGTCTTCAGCACACACTCACTGTTTTCCCTATCCTTGTCCTTCCCGTGTTCATTAATTCATACTGCCCTGCGCCTAGTCCCATTTTCACTTCCTTTGACGCTCCTAGTAGTTTTGTTAGGTCTTACCCTGTAATTTTTGCTTTTAGTTTTGATACCTCTCTATGACTTAACAATAAAAAGGATGTATGGTTTTTATCACCTGTCTCCAAAATAGTCTCTTGTTACGCAGGGAGTACAGCTCTTTTCATTCATACTTACGTTCAGTAGTTGCTTCCCTAAATGCAAATGCAATCTCATTTAGTTGAATAGCCCCTGAAAGCAGCTTGAGTTAGAAGGATGTGTGTTACACCCCAACATTAGTGTGCTGTGTGGGGCAGTTCAACCAAACGTAACAATGTATTTTTGTGAATGAGGGTTGGCATGTCCAATGCATCTTCCAGAGAAATAATCAGTGTTACAGTCTTAAGATGTGTTTTCTAAAGTTGATTCTGTGGGTTATTTTTGTGAACAGCCTGATGTTTGGGACCTTTTTTCCTCAAAATAAGTCCTTGTTAAACCAGGACTTTGGAGGAAAAAAACCCTGGTATTTCATTTTTGTGTTTTATTATTGTTTACTTCAAACTTTCTTTCACAGCGTCCTCCACAAAACCCCTAGAATGTACTAGATATATTTTTCTTGGAGTCATAATCATTATGCAGAGCAACATAACACTACTCAAATTATATTTCATTGAGATGCATGTTGCATAAATATAAGTTGACACAGCGTGGAGACTGTTTTTCACAATGGCTTTTACATCCTAATGAAAGTTTGGGAAGTATATCCTCTCTGCATTTTCATCAGTGCTTTGCGGTCCAGCTGACACCTTTTTGAAGTTTTTGTTGTGTGCTAAATTGCTGTGTCTTTGAATAGGAGAGGCTCAAAAACATTAAGACTTCAGGAAAACAGCTGGAGAATGGAACCCCTGCTTTCCTCTATTTTGTCCTTTTCATTACTATGTATAGCCACAGCTACCTTCTGAATTCTGAAGTGTTACCTCAATGTTACTGAAAACAAGAAAACTTATTTCCTGCTATTCCCGTCTGCCTTGATTGAGAACATAGAGAATGTTACACATTTATTTTACCCTAAATGATCTTTTACCCGTATTAGCTAATCTTTCTGTTTTCCCTCAACTTTATTAATTGCAGTGATTGCATTTTTAGCACCCAGTCTTCTTAAGATGAATATATTAAACAGCTACCAGTGTTGTGATACCTCATCCTTGAAAGGCCCGGTTCGTTTGTGGTTTTTTTTTTTTTTTTTTTTTTTTTTTTTTTTTTG